TGTACTAAATGGACTGACATTTTGTGAAGAAACCCATGGTAATATAGGGGTCGAGACTCGAGAGCATAAGCATTAAATGAGTCAATTATTTCGTAATATGCCAAGAGCTTAAGAAATATTCAAAATTCGAAAATTTTGCGAACCTTACCATAATAAGTCAAGGGCGGGCAAATGTTGGGAAAACCTCAGAAAGAATATAAAAATATTATTAAATCCTTATGTCTGGTCTTAAAAAATTGTTAACACAAAGAACTAACAAAACTTTAAAATTGAATTTAATTATGGACAAAGCAATAATTTTATTTTGAACAATGTATGAAACTGTGAAATAGAAAGAAGACATGTGTATTTGATTTAGTTATGAAGTAAGCAGATTCCACGATGGTAAGTTGAAAATCAACTTATTAAGTAAAATGATACACTGAATAATTACTGTACTTCAAGTTAATTGTAATAATTAAAAACTAACATGAGCTGAAAACTTTAGAATTGTGGATATCGAGATTAATGCTTGATCCTCTCTTTTTCTTAATCTCGAGACTAATCTAATCTTGTACTTGTATCCTGAAAAGTGTTTAAATTTCAACCAATCAGAGTCGCATATATGAAGCCGATAAATTTGAAATTTTGCGCGCCATTTAAGATTTTATACAGAAACGGGAAGTACTCTTAAAATTAAAAAAAGGGTTTTTGATTTTTCTTTTTACTATATCCGAGAAAGAACGGGTTATGAAGAAAATCAAAAGTGTGTCCATTGGATACTCAGATTCAGTAATCGGGATTAAGGATATCTCATTCTAAAGTTTTCAGCTCTGATCTGAGTCTAACACTCGCCTTTTTGATTCACATTTTCTGGGCCCCACTGTATCAGCTTTAAATACGTCTTAGAGTTTTGGGAAACATTTCTAAATGTGCTAAAAAGATTATAATTAAATAAATTATAATTAAATAGAGTATAATTAAATCGATTATAATTGAGTTAATTTGATTATCAAAAGAAAGGAAAAAGGTAATTTTTTTGTTTGCTTCTATGTCCGATTTTGACTCTCTTTAACCAATTTGAGAGGAATTTTGATAGGAAAACGATTAGCGCATATATTACAAAATTTTATTTTTAATTAAAAAACGTGACGGAGAAAATTGAGTTTTTACAACCATCACAAATAGTGTAAAATGTTAGATTTAAATATTTTTAACTTAAATTACTTGATCTAACTCTTTCATTTGTATTTTTTTCATAATTTATCAAAAAAAGTGACGGAGAAAATTGAGTTTTTGCAACAAGCTCAAATTTTCTAATCCTAATATCTTTACAACCAGCTAGATAGTGTAAATTGTAAAATTTTAATATTTCAAACTTAAATTACTTGATCTAACAGTGCTCGTTGTTTTAAATCTCAAATTCTACAACATCTGGTTATCATGGTTTGTGGCAATAACTCAGTTTCTTTGCCTAATGATAGTAAAACATTCATAAACTTGGCCTTTATCATAATTTGTCTTATTAAAGATCTATTGAGAAGAATGAAAATATTTGGAATGTCTTATATTTTTCATGCTACAGCTATATTTGTGCGTAAAATCAAAACTAGAGAAGCTAATACGATGTCACAATGTTGTACATGAATTGTCTCAATGTTGTACATGAATTGTCTCAATGTTGAACATGAATTGTCACAATGTTGCACATGAATTTTCTCAATGTTGTACATGAATTGTCACAATGCTGTACATGAATTGTCACACTGTTGTACATGAATTGTCACAATGTTGTACATGAATTGTCACAATGTTGTACATGAATTTTCTCAATGTTGTACATGAATTGTCACAATGCTGTACATGAATTGTCACACTGTTGTATCCCACCCTCCTCTGTAAGTGAAAACTACAATTTTAGCGGATTTTCTGTAAAAGTTCAGAAAAGCCCCTCCCCCCCCCTGAAAAGATTCCTGTGTACAACCGTGCCCTCTCTCTTGAGTCGGAAAAATTGAAAAGTTTATTCTAAAATGCAATTATACTTGGCGTCACATACCTGTAGTAAAGTCTAAAATCATTTTATTAGTCCTGAAATCGGAACTTTTGTTTCTTGGGATCTAGCATTGATCTACGTCTAATGGATATCTACAGATTAATTTAATCCTCTTGGATATCCCGTGTTGGTCATATACTAAAGAGATAACAAAATATACGGATCAAGTAATGCAGGGGATATTAGTTCCAAAACTAACACTTGGCCCATTTCTAACACTGAGTGTTATAGATATTTATTAAAAAGTTTAAAATTGAGAATTGTCTTTGTCATGTTTAATAAAATGTTGGTTATAGTTTTTATTCCATTTCGAGAGAACTAATATCTCGTGTATTTTCCTGTAATTTGAACATCTTCTGGGATATTATTTCTCATAATTGTCCTGGGATATTATGAGAAATAATGTCCCAGAAGATGTTCATATTACATGTCTAAGATTTTCACGGGAAAAGCATTCTATAACTTATTTCTAAATACATATACATAATATCAATTCTTAAAGTCTAATAGGTGAAGTTTTCTATAGTACAGTTTGATAGATAAAATACTTTTCCTCCAGACTCAATCTTCATGGGATTTGTCTCTCTGATGTTCTTGGTGCTGGAGACTCTAGATTGTTGGTGAGTGACAACCTCAGTCTGGTTCACCACCACATCACCAGGCCACTCATCCCAGAGCTCCTCACTCTCATCCCCCCTGTTCAACTCTATACAGTTGTTATCTCCTTCTCCTTATCCACAACAGCAACCTCTTCTACAGTAGTAGAAACTGGGGAGGTAGCTATGGTCTTTTCAGATGCTGCTAGCTGCTTTAAAAGTTGAAATGTACTCAGCTGTCACCTTTGTGCTGGCCCTTCCAAATAAGTCCCTCATCTGTTCTGAGGTGGCAACTGCAGTTGCTGCTGACCGCCTATAAGAATGAAAAGTATATCCACCTGCAGGGTGTCCAGCTGTAGTCTCTCCGCCATATCAGAAGAAACCTTACCAACCATATTGCAACCCATTGCTTGCTAAAGGAAAGATTTTGCATTTCTGGTCCAAAGAAGACGACTAGTAAATTTTTCGAGCTTCTCTTTAATGGTTCCAATGTTTTGATGGTTTTCAACAATATCAGCACTGTGACTATCGTCGGTCCAAAGGACCAGAAACCTACTGGATCGTTTATCACTTCTTTGCCTGGCCCTTGACTGTTGTCACATACATTCCCTCAGATGTGCTCTCACACAATCTAAATATCCATCATTTCTATATGACTTAGTCCGCCATAGCCTTTTGTTTGATATCAACATCAAAGCTTTTCAGCAGAATTGTTACTCTGCAGTACTGTTCTAGACTAAATGAATATTTTCCCTTTGAAATAGAATTGATCAAACTGTAGATTGTCCAAAGACTGGATAAAGCCATTTCTGTCTCCTCTACATAATGTTGAACCAATTGTAATAACTCATGATATTGATCAGATATTTTTTCGGCTGCCTTCCTTGTTCTGTATTAACGCGTCAGAATCCAAGAAGATAAGTGATGAATCTAACATCTTCCTTGCCAGTTTAACTAACACTGACAAATTCTGGATTTTTTACAAATTTTTGCCGATTTTAGAGTTTTTTTTCGATTTTTTTCGATTTAAAAAGGAATAAAATTAAATACAAGCAACTACCTTATATTATGCCTTAAAATTCCTCACTACGTTCATGATTTAGAGGCTTGAATTTTAACTTTAAACAAACTAAATTTAGTAAAAAACATAATGTCCCGTATTATAACACAAGGCAGTTGCATAAATAGATATTACTTTCGACTTTTATTCTGGTGGGCCGGGATCCCAAAAACCCAGTCTTTCAATTTGTGCCCATATCTAACAGTCAGTGTTAGAAATGGGCCAAGGGTTAGTTTTGGATCTAATATCCCCTGCAATGTTCTTCACATTTAAAAGTGTCCAAATTGGATATCGAGATCAATTGCCTTCTAAATACTACCTTATTCTTATCGTAATGAATAAAAAAGGTTAAAAAAATTCTTCAGATTTTTGAAAATTCTTATGAAAATTGTCATTTTTTGTTTTGGAACTAACCAACTATACGGAATGAATAATTGAATATAGTGAAATGAAATGATTGAAATATCTAACACTTTTAACGATAGCAACGAAACAAGAGATGCATGACTGATTGAATGAAATTCGTCTGATTGAGATCATGTTTTCTAGGTCAAAATTCTCTGGTTTAAAATTTATTTCAATATTTGCAAACTTGTCTGTTTAGTCATATTTGTTCTTATTTATTTCCTTGGGGTTAAAACCACAGAGCTAATTGTTTAGTCAGTCTTTAACCGACTTGGAGCTCAGTTCTTTAACCATATTCATCTAGTGATATACATAGTGATATCTAGGACAGGATAGGACAGGATAGAACAGGATAGGACAGGATAGGACAGGATAGGACAGGATAGGACAGGATAGGACAGGATAGGACAGGATAGGACAGGATAGGATAGGATAGGACAGGATAGGACAGGATAGGACAGGATAGGACAGGATAGGACAGGATAGGACAGGATAGGACAGGATAGGACAGGATAGGACAGGAAAGGACAGGATAGGACAGGAAAGGACCAGATAGGACAGGATAGGACAGGACAGGAAAGGATAGGAAAGTATAGGACAGAATAGGACAGGCTAGGACAGGACAGGACAGGATAGAACAGAATAGGACAGGATAGGACAGGATAGGACAGGATAGAACAGTATAGGACAGGAAAGGAAAGAAAAGGACAGGATAGGACAGGATAGGACAGGAAAGGACAGGATAGGACAGGTCAGGATAGGATAGGACAGGATAGGACAGGATAGGACAGGATAGGACAGGATAGGACAGGATAGGACAGGATAGGACAGGATAGGACAGGATAGGACAGGATAGGACAGGTCAGGATAGGATAGGACACTAGGACAGGATAGTCAGAAAGATTATTTCTACGAAGGAAAATGTGTGGTTGGTTCTCTAGCAATCTAAGATGACCCTAGAGAAATGAAACCAAACCTTGTTTTTCTCCTTTTAGGAATAGAACCTTAATGAGATCAGAAAACCAAAATTAAAAGTCATTTTTGTAAATTTTACCAATCTTTAAAGGGACTGTAAGCGTAATTTCAAGTGATCCTCTATAAATAGATGGCAACGCCTGATTCACAACGAAACCCTTTAAAGCTGTTTGATCATGTATAAGTTAGATATCCATAGATCAGATAAAGGTTTTAAAGGTACCGTCGTAAATCGGGCATTGCCCTCTTACGCTTAGAGTCAATTCATTATTTTTATGTGGATTACATGCCTATCCTATGAATTCAATTGGGGGGAAGGAGAGGGAGCTTAGTTTATCAATTATATTTTATGTTTTTTTATTTTAGCACTCAGCAATCCTTTGGTCTTTTATTGCCTAATTAACTTTGATAAACCTTTCTTTATTTTTCTTAAAATGGAAACTGTTCTTAAAAAAGGAAATAAAGAACAATTCTGAATTTAGTTTATAATCTAATCTTCAATAATGCATCTTCAAATATGGACTTACGTTTAAATATTCAAAGATCTCTAACGATGCGGCCTAATAGGGTCTCATTCTGAATAACAAAGGTAAAACCATATTTCGAAATAAATTAGTTATTTTTTCTAAAGTTGGTTTTATTTTTGTTTAATATAAAGCTGAAATGTACAGTGGTAACCATAGGAAGACGACTTTTAGGCTCAAGTTATAACTTTAAATAGTCCAATGAACATGAATCATGAAACAGCAATTGTGCAGTGTAGACAGACCAATTTAACTTTATAAGTGAACTAAAAGATACTAGTGACAATAGTTGCATAGCAATATCAAGTACACTTAATTATTGCTTTAATGTAGTCTTCCTATTCTACAGTTTTCTGGTTATCACTGTATGTATTATGTCACAATTGTATGCGTCATAATTAGTAACTCTTCAACAGAGCGTTCTAAATTTCTATTTCTATGTACTTTGCCTCAATTTACGTCATTGATGTGCGTCCTCTCTGTGTGTACTGTGTGTATCCTCAATGTGCGTCCTCATTAGGCGTGCTCTGTTTGTGTCCTCAATGTGTGTCCTCAATGCGCATGCTCTGTGTGTGTCCTCAATGTGTGTCCTCATTGTGCATGCTCTGTGTATGTCCTCAATGTATGTCCTATATGTGCATCCTCAATAAGCATGCCTGTGTGCTTCCTCACTGTGAGTCTTAATCATTGATGCATCTTCTTTTTTAAAGTTCTCCATTTTTAGTATACATATATAAACATCTATAACAGTTTTAAGTGTTAAAAAAGAATCTAAAAAGTTTAAATTTTACAAAATTCAAAATCTAAACCTAAACCCCCCTGCAAAACTTAAGGATTCCAATAAAAAGGTGTCCCCTTCTCCTACGGACAAGGAGGTCTGAACCCTGAAGGTGATGTGCAGTACAAAGGAGATGACGTAAAAACAGGAGATATTGTCACACCAAGGAGTCCAGATATCCATGAGGTTGCAAGAGATAAGAGGACTGGATTCTGGAATGAATTTATAAACAAAGCAAATGAAATAAATTCAAACAATTCAAAATCAAGAAAAGGAAAAAGTAAGAACATGATTTGACAGGGAGTTTATCCATTGTTTTTTCTTCTTCAAATATGTTCCTCTATCAATTAACTAATTGATTATTACCTTCTTTACATGGTAGCATATACAGGGCGACCCACAAAGGATGAGACTTTTTAATGATGGCCCAAACATCTTTAATTTTTGAAAATTCGAAATGTTGTAGTTGACGAAGTTTTTAAAAGTCAAATTAGAGGCAAAAGATTTAACAAGTGCACACATGCAAGGAACTCTGAATAAAGGAAACAAGACTGAATAAATTCCGTACAGTCGTATCTTACTGTTACCCTGTTTATAAGGATTGACATTTATTCTTGATATGGCCCTTTAGAAAAGTACATTTAAGAATTTAAACGTACTTAACATTAATAAACTGTCTACTGTCTCGGTGTTCTATTATTATAACGTACTTTTCGCTTAATAAAAGGAATTGAGTCTTTGCCACAAACTCTGATTTTCTAATCCCTATATCTTTCCAACAAAATTATTAACATTAATTCTGATTGATCAAATAATCAAAGTTTGAAATATCAAAGGTTTACACCATCGGGTTGCTAAAATATAGGGATTAGAAAATATGACTTTGTGGCAAAGACTCAGTTCCTTTGTCTACTATAAAGACACGAATGTTTTCAATCTCTATTATTTTCAATTGACAAAATACCAATTAATTTTGAAAAGGTAATCTGCACTTGAGAGCACTTTGTGCAACCAACGTGTTCGATGCAAAATGCAAGGCTTGAAATTAAATAAATCTGCATCCATCACTGATTTTTAACACTGGTGCATTCCTTCGAGTATAAGGATTAACTTTTAAATGAAGAAACAAAACCAGAACTTTAGAATGGTGGATATTGGGATCAATGCTAGATCTCCTTTTCAGCTCAGTTTGCATTTTAGAGTATTTTTCCGCTTTTTTGCAAACTTTCTTGACACAAAAATGTTCCATTTTATTAATTCTACAATTTTAAAAATATAATTAAAACATTTTTTAGTAAGTTCTTCCTAACGATAAATTTAAAACAATTTTTAGACAAAACTCAAATAATTTTACTTTGTTTTATTTGAACAGAATTAGCTGCTATTCAGTTTTTTTAATCGGATCTATACTTTTTCATTGAAGTAAAGTTATCGTTGATTATTTATCTTGAAAATTTCATTCATAATTGCTGCTGCATTGATCTGCAAGGATCGTTTATAAGGAGTACCCAGTACCAACAACAAAAATAATAAATTTTCAGCCGGTAACAGAAGGGTTTTTAGGTTTTGTAATGGGTTCCGTTGTACATTTGACACATCACTCGATCAATGTTTGGTTAATTCAAATCATGTGTATAACTGTCCTGTTAAACTTCATTTAGCTTTGGAACCCAGAGCTGCCAAGGTTACTCATAGTAAATCCCACCATTTACCCGCACTTGAACGATTTTACAGGGAAACTAAATTTACTTCTAAAAAACAAACTAAGAACATTTCCGTGGCTCTCCTTGGTTACCAAATCGAAATTTGAGGCAGATCAGTCTAGAGGTTCCTGAGTTATGATCGGATCAACAAACTGCTCTTTTGTTATTGTTTTTGTTATTAATTCCTTCTACCCGAAATCTTTAATACAATGTAAAAGAACGGGTAAAATTGGATTTTAAAGATTCTGATTTTAAAATTGAGTTTTGATCCGTCAGCTTTCAACGCTGTCAAGCTTTATATTTGACATACTTCCAATCCATTAGGATTTAGAAAATTTTACAATTTTCTTTAAACCCCAAACATATAACTGGCTAAACGGCTGAACCAAATTGGCTGAATATTTGTGAGAGAACCAATGGGTATCCCGGGGATAACAAAGGCTATTATTTTTCTTTCAAAATTCAAAATTTATTTCAATATTTAAATTTTTTTCACAAGTGTTTCTAGAATTCCACATACAGATACTATTATGTATGTACATTTTGTAATTGTATATGTACAAAGTACATAATTATAAAAATGTATACGTACAAAGATTATTTTGTATCAGGTGTGTATACAGTAAATGGTTTTTTCTTATGTAAATATCAAGATATTTCTAGAAAAATCACCATATTTTTACAGAATATCTACAAAAAAGTATTTTTCACACTAACATTTTTTGGGAACAAAAACCTGACCAACTAGAGTTTCTTTAACCATTAAGAGATATAATTTACAATGTAACGTTTTTTTGTGTCAACTTTTTGTATTTTAATAATTTGTTTGTGCTATACAAAAGAAAACTTTTCAACTATATTTGTTCATTTGTTCATTTTTCATTTTTTTATTTTTCTAATTCAGTCCAAGGAGGATAAAATTTGAATTTTAGCAAAATTTAAAAAAATTATTTCACTTTTTCTTTTTAGTTTTCAGCGTGTTTTCTGTGGTCAGTTTCCCAAACGATGCTTGTCTTAGTGTTCTAGACTCTGCTAACGGTAAGATTTATAATTTTCATCTTTATATGATTATCAAAATACGTTTTTTTGAACTAATCGATTCGTTACAAAAATATCTAGGGTTACGGAAATTTAAGAATTTTAGCATTTTTCAAAATATTATTTTGGTTATAATATTTTGCAAAATATTATTTTTGCTATAATATTTTGCAAAATGTTGACTTACAGAAGATTAGGGCCTGAAGATAGTGAAACCATTCATTCGGTATTAATTCATTTCACAACGAGAACTAGGAACATGGCACAACATTTTAACTTAGAAATTGATTTGATACATTACTAGTACAACTATTTGATTTGTAACAACATTAAGATGTGTGATCAATATGTTTCGCTCTAATCTTTTTTTTAAGTTCACTTTATCCATATCGGATACATTTTTGACCAAGTCGATGTCAAGCAGATTTTAATTTAACCCTATTCCTGCTGGGGGGGGGGGGTCAATTTGACCCCCCCTGTAGTTTTTTTTACATAACTCAAAAAGTATTGGTCTGAGGCTGTTGAAATTTTCTGACTTTTCTTACATACCCAAAGCCCTCCCTTTAGGCCTAAAACCGGGCTTTAATACTAACTGCCTGAGTCCTCAGGCACACTGCCTGAATGACTGCTTTTGCCTGTAACAAACTAAATCTTTGTTTTGACCTACTTTCACTTATCAGATTTTGATAAAATTTAGCTTTTTGGAAAGCCTATGACATAAGGAAACGGATTGCACAAGTTTTGCAAAAAAAAATTGCAAATTTTTTGCAAACAACCTGTCAAAGGAAATTTGCACATTTTTAGTTTTTCTTGATTAAAATCAGGTTATTTAAAATTTTGCAAAATTTTTTGCATATTTGAAATGGCATGGTCAAGGGCTTTTCAAAAATGTATAATTTGTCATTTTTTGGACAAATTTTTTTTGCAAACATTTTTACTATAAAACTGGATTTTGCGATAAAAAATTCAATTTTCGCAAATTTGCAAATTTTTTTGCAGATTCTAAAAGTAGAGCACAAGAGCTTTCTAATGATGTATCATTTGTCATATTTGGACATAAAACATGGGATTTAGAGGGGGGGGGGGTCAAATTGACCCCCCCCCCAGCGTATCCTGGTTTTCAAGTACCCCAGCAGGGATAGGGTTAAAATAATTGAGTTTTTAAAATTTCTGTAGAGCCTCGTATAATGTAAAACTTGAATTATTTAAATTCTAAAATATTTCTTTAATTCAAAGAAATTAAAACAAAAGCAGAGCAAAAACCCCCAAAACAGGAAAAACACAACAATTTGTAAAAATGAATGAAGATAAAAACTTGCTTCCGTTCATTGCTCAGTGTTTCCAAAACAAAAAAGAAAAACATTGATAACACTTTACCATTACAATTTAACAAGTGAAATTATTTCTTCTAGGAATATAGCTAGGTTGGCTATTTTGTTCATATACAAAAACCCAGGATAGGGCTATATAATTGATAAAAACAAGTTTAAGAACAAAATCTCTATTAAATATCCCCGAAAAAACTCACTCACGCGAAAACATATTAAAGTTAATAATAGATGACAAGGCTGAACCGCTAAACCTTTGCAAAATATTACAAAATTTCCCCTTTTTTTCTATATTTCTAAGGGAGGAAGGTATTCAATCAAAAAAGAATTATTATGAAATACATTAAATTTATAACAAAAAACGGTAATTAAAAGCATACTTTCAAATGATGCTCTGGCAAATATGGCGTTGTGAATCGGGCATTGCCATATTTATCGGGTTACTTGAAATTCCTTAACTTTTAAGAAATTGTCCCAAACCACCCTGAACTAACGAGAGAGAGAAGAATTCGGTTTCTTTTATTTGAAATCAAACGTGTTTTCGTCTATAACTCAACAGTCTTTAGACTTACAGATTTGTTTATTTTATACTTTTTCGTTCAAAATGTATATGCCAACAAAAAAGTATCTAAAATAAAAGGCTATACAATTATGTAAAGGGGTCAAATTGTGATCGAAAGTCACAGTTTTCTGAAATATTGACAGAACCCTTAAATCAACGTGAAATAAACTTTAAATGCCACAAACCCTATTTTTTATCACCATATCTTTGCAACCAGATGTTAACTTCCAAAGTTTGACTATTTTATCTAATAGGATTTATAGTTTGAAATATCAAAAATCTTAAAAAGCATCAGGTTGCAAAGAAAAGGAATTAGAAAATTATAGTTAGAGGCGAGAGTTTGCTAAAGTTTTGATAAACTTATAACAGATATCGATTGAGTCAAATCATATGACTATCCACAGGGAAGGCTTTTACTGGTTGATGTTGACAAATTTTTCTCACAAAATGTCTTTTTTGATTATTTTTGAAAATGCACTAATTTAACCAGAAAATCCGCGAACATTTGAGAAGGAGTAAAGATTGTGTCAGTTGAAAGCTAAAATTGTGAATATGACAGGGGAGCAAAGCGCTTTAAAAGCCTAGTTAAAACAAAAAATATAAAAGAAAACAATAACAGTCTAAAATTTTAGAAAAGTTAAGATACAATTTTATATTTAGGAACCTGTTTGAGTCCACTGGAATGTAATCAACGGGTAAATATACAATTCAGTTTTTATCAAACAAATTTTTCACAAAACTTTTTAAATAATTCTAATTAAACTTATAGACTAATTTTTTTTTCTTAAAGGTCATAAAATGTTGAGAGATAAGGACCGGAAGTTGTTCTAAAAAGAGATTTAGTTTTATATTTAAACTATTGAATTATTTCAAAACTCAAGAAAAATTGATTAATATATTTACAATCTACGTTTAACAAAATTGAGTTTGTAGAAGTGTGTATTTTGGTTCCCGCATTTATATTTCTCGAAGGAAGACGACGTGGTATTGCTACAATGAATTGTGTCCGATTAGTTAGACACTTTCTAGCTATGATTTTGATGCTGCGACTTCCTTCCACTAGCTAGCCTGGGAAATTGCAGCCAAATTACAGCTAGAAACTGTTTAACGAATAGGATATTGTTTTCCCGCATTTTTTTTTTCGGAGGAAGACGACAATGAATTGTTTAAACAGGGTGGAACTGCAGAGGGTTCCTGTGCTTCTGGGTTCGGAATCTGTTGTGTTCTTAGACTTGAGTCCTGCGGGGGACAAATTCTAAATAATGTTACTCAAGTTCAAAATCCAGGTATGATACACTGGTAAAAACTTAACAGTAGAATGATTGTCGTCGTCGCTATTTCTTTAAGTTAGAAAAACCATTACTGACTTTGCAATTTGTAGTTGTTTATTAAAAACGTATCTCTTCAATATACAATATGCATTCATTATTATTAAATATTTTTATTGAAAAAAAATAATAATTTTGAAAAAGAATTTCGAGTTATTTTTGATTATTTGATGTAACAGAATTCATAGTTTGAAATAATATGATGAAAAAGATATATGATTTGCTAAATCGGGATTTGTGACAAACAATTTTTTTCCTTTACAAATTACAAAACATTCGAAAGAATGAGTGAAAATTACAATTATTCCGCTGTTTAAAGGTTATATATTACAATTATATTATTTACAAAGGGGGCTGTGTCATTGAAATTTAAGTTGCTCAAAGAATGATTCAAAACAGTTCCATTTTATACTTTTAGACTCATTGTCAAAAAAAGGCTAAACCTAGTTGTAAGCGAATTGAATTATGCATCGAATCCATTCCTCCTAGCCTATACATATTAAAATAAATAAAATTTTCTTATTTTAAAAAAGGAATATTGAAATTTGTAATTCTTTGAATAAGTTGTTGAAGGATATACAGCAATTTGATAAGTTAATAACCAATTTTAAATATTTATTAATTTCCTTGAAAAAGAATAAATATTGTTTAGAATATCCTATGTAGTAAGTATAATCCTAGTAAGTATAAAACTGCTGGTGCCTGTACATATATATTGTTTAGGATATCCTAGCAAGTATAAAACTGCTGGTTCCTGTACATATATATTCAGAATAAAAATTGTTCAGGATATCCTAGCAAGTATAAAACTGCTGGTTCCTGTACATATATATTCAGAATAAATATTATTTAGGATATCCTAGTAAGTATAAAACTGCTGGTTCCTGTACATATATATATATATTGTTTAGGATATCCTAGTAAGTATAAAACTGCTGGTTCCTGTACATATATGTATATATATTGTTTAGGATATCCTAGTAAGTATAAATTTGCTGGTTCCTGTACATATATATTGTTTAGGATATCCTAGTAAGTATAAAACTGCATTCAGAATAAATATTGTTCAGGATATCCTAGCAAGTATAAAACTGCTGGTTCGTATATATATATATTCAGAATAAATATTTTTTAGGATATCCTAGCAAGTATAAAACTGCTGGTTCCTGTACATATATATTCAGAATAAATATTGTTCAGGATATCCTAGCAAGTATAAAACTGCAGGTTCTTATACATATATATTCAGAATAAATATTGTTTAGGATATCCGAGCAAGTATAAAACTGCTGGTTCCTGTACATATATATTGTTTAGGATATCCTAGTAAGTATAAAACTGCTGGTTCCTGTACATATATATTCAGAAAACAATCGGAAGATATATGTCAGGTAATGTTCAGGGTTCAGGGTAATAACATACCATGCGGAAATCACTGTCCTTGCAACTCCAATAGTTTTGATTTAATGCATAAAAAGGCCTATATCTATCTGATTACATTTTAAAAATTCAGAACATTTTTTTTTCTGATCAATGGCTCTTCAAAGTAAAGAAGATATTATCTAAAACAAGTAAGATTTCAGTTTAATTTTATTTACTTTAGTTTGACACAAAATTCATATTTTTATAAAAGCTTTACTTCTCTGCTGGTTTGTTTGTTTGGTTGTTTGAAACCAATAAACGTCAAATTGGCTAAATGATCAGGCCCAAAGTTTGTGTGGGACCTCATATGACCCCAGGGAAGGTTTATAGATGATCAGATAAAATAAATTGCCTCCAAAAAACTTTGATTTTTGTAAAATTTTCCAATTCACGAAAACAAATTTGTGACATTTTTTGTTATTGATTAATAATGTACAAAGAGAAAATACGCGCAGATAGAGAAACAATAAGAAGTTTAAATGGGAGATGAGCGCGAAGCGTCCTTAAAGCCTAGTATTAATTTTTAATATATTCATGCAGTAAGAACCGGAAAACTGTGGAATAGGAAGACGACTGTGAGACTCAAGCTATGATTCTAAATAAAACACCAAACACGGAAAATGGCTGACTTTCTTAATAAGTTGATTTTTAAGCTACTAGTAAAACTATTTGCTATATTACAACACTAAATACATATTATATTGCTTGAATATCGTCTTCCTTGTTCACTGTTTTATTGGACAAGCTGTGATATATTCATAAATCATTTATTCTATCTAATAATCTTAAATGACTGTTAGTGTTGCCATAGTTGGGATTCTTAGTCTGGATTTCTACATTGTTTACTTTAATCCAATTTGCAAGAATTTACATTGTAATTTTCTCGACTGTCAAACTAATTGTTTTAAGTAAAAAATTATTAAATTTAAAATTTTTAAGAAAAGAATTATTTTCAAAAAAAGTTTTTATTGAAGTTGAATGCAATTCCTTTAACTCTATTTAATTAATTAAGAAGAGTCTTAAAAATGGTAAGTTGTAAAGAAGAATGTAACAATCCCGTTGTTAAAGATTAGAAAGAGGTTTCTCATGCAACACACAAGAGTAAGCTTAACAATTTTAACAATCTAAAGATTAAATATATATAATCACTCAAAAAAAATTAGATTTTGAATCAAACACCTTCAATCGAATCTCTTTCCCACTTTTATTTAAGTCGTTAGATGACAAAGATACTTCAGCAAACATTACAGTAGCAAGGAATTTATTCGTAAAACACATTTTTGAAGTAAAATTCTAGAGTTAAACACCCTTAGTCTTGACATTTCCAAATGTGGTCTGTCTTTTTTGTGCTCTCAATATTACTGGAGGAATGAAGAATTTCGTTCAGATTTCGACAATTTTATTAATTTAATAAAACTGCATGAAATCTGAACGAAATTCTAAATATCTTCAATAGTATCGACGGCAAAAATAAAGGCAGACCACAGTTTGGAAATTCCAGGACGAGAAGAATTTTGTGGTTATTGTTTAAAAAATCTTAGCGTCACATATCAATAATATCATATTGGATTAGCTCCAAGCTTTACCGCCAAAATACGCACATCTAAAAATAAGACAATCATAATGTCTACAGATTTGAGTTATTGAAATTTGAGTTATTTAAATCTGAATATTACAAAAATAAAAAAGTTTCTATAAATAATTTTTATTTAACTGACAAATCTGAAATTTGAAATGCTTAAAGATCTCTCAAAAATGCCGCAAAAAGCCTGTAAAGATTTTTTAAGTAAAAGTAAATAAAAATTGTAATGGATAGTTAAGCATTTATAAAGAAACTTTTATAACACTCATTTTTCAATTGGAGAGAGAGGGGAGTGAAGGGGGGGGGGTAGGGTATCTAAATATCTAAACCAATCTGTATATTGTTAAAACTATGTGTTCCTTGGAGTAATATAAACCACAAACCAATAATGAGTTTTGGAAATAATTTGACATTTTGCAAAGAAGTGCAAGGACAGTTTGGTTTGCATAGATACCGTTTGCATCATTCCATTTCATATTTTTGTAAAATCTTAGCAAAATTTCAATATTTCCCAAATGTTAATAATTTACTTTTGAGTTCGTGCTAAAAATGATTTTTTTTATACAAGACATTGCAGTTAAACTTCCATCTTATCCTGTCCTAAATATCACATTTTAGACAGGTTGACTAACTATCAAATTTTAAACAGGCTGTCTAACTATCAAATTTTAAACAGGTTGTCTAACTATCAAATTTTAAACAGGTTGTCTAACTATCAAATTTTAAACAGGCTGTCTAACTATCAAATTTTAAACAGGTTGTCTAAATATCAAATTTTAAACAGGATGTCGAACTATTAAATTTTAAACAGAATGTCTAAATATCAAATTTTAAACAGGTTGTCTAACTATTAAATTTTAAACAGGTTGTCTAAATATCAAATTTTAAACAGGGTGTCTAACTATCAAATTTTAAACAGGTTGTCTTAACTATCAAATTTTATACAGGATGTCGAACTATCAAATTTTAAACAGGATGTCGAACTATTAAATTTTAAACAGGTTGTCTAAATATCAAATTTTAAACAGAGTGTCTAACTATTAAATTTTAAACAGGTTGTCTTAACTATCAAATTTTATACAGGATGTCGAACTATCAAATTTTAAACAGGTTGTCTAAATATCAAAATTTAAAGAGGTTGTCGAACTACCAAATTTTAAACAGGTTGGCTAAATATCAAAATTGAAAGAGGTTGTCGAACTACCAAATTTTAAACAGGTTGTCAAATTTAAAAATTGCAAAGGAATTGAGTGTATGCCACAGACTAAAATCTTCTGATTCAAATATCTTTTGATGCAAACCTTCTTTGATATTTCAAACTTAAATTATTTTATCTATAAGCATTAATAGTTTGAAATATCTAAGGTCTACGACATTGGGTAACAAAGATATAGAGATTAGAAAATCAGACTTTGTGGCAAAAACTCAACTCCATTCCAAGTTTTTTAGTTTTGGTATTTTTGGACAAAAGATATAAAATACAAACCTGAGGATCTACATGGTCATGAAGCCGCTCCAGTAATGTAATATAAAGGTCTATAGACCAAAGTAATATTCCTTCCTGTTATCTTTAAAAGATATAAAATACAAACCTGAGGATCTACATGGTCATAAAGCCGCTCCAGTAATGTAATATAAAGGTCTAGACCAAAGTATCTTTAAAAGTGATTTGTTTAGATTCGGTTGGATTTTAAGACAGGAACATTTAGCTACTCTTCCAAGGGTACTACAGGTTAGTAATATATGTTTATTAAACTATTGTGTAAAGTACTTTATCATTCATGGTAACTTTATAGGAAATTTTATTATGTACAGGTGTTACAAATCATCGTATATGTTAAATTCCGTGGTGGTGCACATTAGACTGTGGCGTAATTGAATTGCTTCAAACTAGTTTATCAAAACAATAATAAAGATTGTAAACTTTTCTGGTCAGTTCTGGCCGTACTTAATTACTTACTGTTGTTTATTTACCTTAAACCAGTTCCGGGCCAGTCTAATATTTCATAGTAAAATGTACACATACTCTTTCCTCCCTACATTTAAAAGAAACATACCTGAGTCGGAAATTTAAGAGAATAGAATATATATTAGAAGGGAATTCACTAGAAAAAGTATAAAACGACCATTTTGTTGTACTGTTTCCGTACTGCAGGTGTACTTCACATATTTATGCTATATAGCCTTTCGGGCCCTGGAATATCATTATATAGAAAATCTAAAATTATTGTTAAATGAAAATCAAATTATAAAATAGGCTGGTTTCATAATTGACCAATGATCATTTCACATAGTCTCTATGCCTTTCACTTTACAAATGATGATTTCCCGTTATAATTATAAATCAAATGATGTTTTTAATTCATTATAATTCATTATAAAGTTTATTTAACAGCTCTAAAAAATTTGAAATTTAAATGGATAGATTAGGGAACATACTGTATTAATGTACTCTACTGCATATAATGTGTGAACATTTACATGATTTGTACACTTTGAACTCCCTTTCAGGCTGAAAGAGGGGTAAACAAAATGCATACCGAGGGATTTCTAAATTCCACTCTAATATATATTCTATTCTCTTTGATTTTAATTTAAAAAGATCAAAAACCAAAAGAGAATGTAAAGAAACCACATGAAGTAAAATTCTTGACAAAAGTATTGGATACGGGTTTTTATTACAACATTCTGTCTGAAGTTACTGACTCTATTTTTAGGATGTATTCCTGGTACTACGGATGTTCTCTCGTTCACTCTGAAAAACAAGGTTCCCTACTCTAAAGTATGCGGTGAACTAACAGGACAGCATAGTAAGTTTTAAATATTTATTCAGAACGAAAATGTAGATAATTAATAAAATTTCTATAATCAAATCACACAAAAAAATAAGTGGAATGATTCAAACGAAACACCACAGATTTAATAATTTCTCAATTATTAACACTGATTTAATTGTCTTTAATATTTTAGTGTATTATGAGGTTGGTAGTCCTGGGGATACGGTAACCCTGGATATATCTTTGGTTGGATCTGTTTTAGAAAGAAAATGGAATATTCTGGCTACACAGATTGCTTGCGCAGATCCTTGGAGGTTTAGTTTTCATACAGGGTATCCCAAAACCATGACAATAATTGACAAATGCAATTTTCCTAAAGAATTTGAGTCTTTGTCACAAACTCTGATATTCTAATTCCTTTATCTTAACAACCCAATGTCGTAAACCTTTGATATTTCAAACTATGGATCGTGTTATATCAAATAATCATAGTTTGACATGTTAAAGCTATACATAATCGGATTGCAAAGATATAGGTAGTAGAAGTTTTGAGTTTGTGACAAAGACTCAATTCCTTTGTCCAAAGTTTATGAAGTGGAAGTGTAGGATTAGAAATGTTCAAACTGTGGATTGCTGCTATAGTGCTGGGACATATTAGGGGCCGAGTGCTGCGTCCATATTTTTTGGAAAAGTGCTTCTTGGGATATTGTTACTTTTGAAAGTATTAACTTGGATTATTGAACATTTGGGAGGTTGCCACTTGCAAAATCACTTTTGGGAAGTTTTCTAAACTTTAAAGTATTTAATTCGATAAACTTAGAAATAAATTCAGAAATACAGCAGATAAGGTACAGTATGAAGTTTAAACTTTAATCATCATATTTACTAATTTTTTGGCAAAGTTTTTTTTTCTAATTTTGAAAATTGTTTAAATATTTCCAAGGGCCCCAACTAGTGTTGACATTTATTTTAATATTTTCCAGGTCGCCAACTGATTGTGAAATGTTAAAAATATTTTCCAGGGCCCCAACGGATTGTCTCCAGTATCATACAGGACCTATAGGATCCTTTCAAAGCTTTAATTTTGCCTCCGGTCAACTTCTGTCAAGCCAAAACTATAGAATATGCTTTAGACAGGAGCTAAGTAAGTATTACTTTTTATATCTAAGCTTTCAAGGCGTTTCACGCCCAGAATTTTCTTTTCTTAAATTATTAAAGAATAAGTAATAAATTTTCCAGGATTCATCGATTTTTTTCGTAGTTTAGAAAAAAATGATTATAAAAGAATTCTGACCAGCAATAATCCTTCCCTGTGGGTAATGTTTGCAGAAATTATAAAAAATGTCCAAAACACGTGCAACCATTTCTAAATATATAGATTTTTATACATTTATCTTTTATAACATATGATTGTTTCGTTTAATACATTATATATATGTGCGTCATCAATTTGGAGTCCGTACTTTTCTTCTTTTTTTATACACAGATAAACTTTAATAATTCTTTGCTATAATCAGATGGCTGAATCTAAAATTAGAATGTTTTCTAAAAGGTATTCTAATGTTTTATACCTGGCACTTTACTATCAATGAAAAATGTCGCATTCTAAACTAATGAGACATTTAAACTGTCGATTATTCAAAATGCAACTAAAGGAATTGAGTCTTTGCCTCTAGCTGAAATTTTCTAATTCCATTATTTTATCTAATTAAAACATCTTGTATTTAGGATACTGCTCCATCAGTTACCGTCCTAGCTCTCTTCCTTCCCCTCCTAATCCTTTTCTTCTACCAACTTCTAACCCTGGAGGAACAACTACTACAAACAACTGTGTTGTTGCCTATCTTGGTATTCCTGTGGTAAGAAGAATTTTAGAAACATTTTTTCTCCGGGTTTTTAAAAGACTTCTAGCATCTCTAATCATCTTGAAAATATTATTTATATTTTAAGGATCACAGGAGAGCTTTGTGAAAACTATCAAATCACTCCTGCTGCTGTAGTTTTTCATATATTTTTAGTACTATAATGTTTTGTTAACAACTGTTATAATTGATTGTTACCGAAAAAAAATATTTGATTTGACTTTGAAAGTTGAATCTTGAAATCAAACCTCTCCAGAATTATCAAGTCTCAAGATTTTTAAAGAACGGGTTTTCAGTCATAATGGGAAAGACCGACTAGACATGGTAGGTTGAGCTGAAAGTTCAGTATACGCTTTAATTAGAATTCATTGGATACCAATGAGAAATTTGGACGGTGTGCCATTTTTTTTAATAAGTCTTTTTGACAAGCTTCTGGCTTGATATTTGGATCAATTATATTTGTTTCTAAAAAAAACAGATATTCAAGAAACTCAATCTTATTATTCTTCAGAGTTCTAGGACTCTCAATAAACAATATATATTGCCAATACCATTATGTAATATAGTTTTTTTTATCAATGCTTAAGAAAAGAAAAAGAGCATAGGGAGAGAACCAGCTTGATTAAGTAAAATTTTTAATTTCCAGAAAATTTTATCGTCGTTCAGAAAAGAATGCGCGAATTTTTTCCCGAAAACTTCGCAGAACGGGAGGTTATTTTACATAACTGTCCCAAGGTACGTAAAAAACCTAACCTCCCTCTGTTGTGGGAATCATAGGTCGGCAATGTTGGTCAGAAGGCGGTGAAATACATAATAGTTTCATAAAAAAATTATTATAAAATCAAAACAAAACAATATTTTTTCAATTTTTAGGGAGGTGATTCCGGATTTGGAGACAGTAAAGCAAATAGATATTGTGGTAACTTTTTTGATAGTTCCGAAGGAGCTACAAGGAATGGTCAAGTTTCAGGTAAACGTTTAACAGTGATAAATACAGTGATAACCAGAAACTCTTAAATAGGAAGACGACTTTTAGAATCAAGTTATAACTTTAAAAAGTCCAAGGAGCATGAGACACGGCAATTGTGTAGTGTAAACAGACCCACTTTATTTAACTTGTGATTTAATAAGTGTTATATAAATTTTTATTATTTTTTAACCACATGAAATACACTTAAGTATTCCTATTATTTAGTCTTCCTATTCCATTGTTATTTGTTGATCACTGCATAAAAAGAATATAGAGATCTCTCATTCAAAATCCGTAAAAAACAGCGAAAAATGTTAAAAAATATAAAGTTAAATTGTTTAAAATAGAAAAAAAACGAAAAATATTTATAAAAGGAGTGCACACAGGTTCTAAAGTTAAGACTCACTGGACTGTTAAAAAGGACCTCTGGTTCACCGTGGATATAAATTGTGTAGAAAAGGGAAAAAGGTTGCAACTAATATGAAAAATACAGTAATTCTTAAACAAAATAACTTGTGTGATGTTTCAGCGGCAGTTACTCCATTTGATGTATTTGTATTCTCAGATGCTTTAACATTGGACAAATCTGGTAGAACAGGTACTCAAGATCAAAGGAATTGAGTCTTTGTCACAAACTATGATTTTCTAATCTCTATATCTTTGTAATCCAATGCCGTAGACCTTAGATATTTCAAACTATGAATTCTGTTGGATGAAATCTAAGTTTGAAATATCAAAGGTTTACACCATCAGGTGGAAAAAAATAGGTATTAGAAAATCAGAGTTTGTGACAAAGACTCAATTCCTTTATAAAATGTTTCCCCTTTTCCCGATATTATTTTTTATTTTAAATGATGCTTTCCATCCTACTATTTTTAATAATACATCTTAAAACTAAAAAAGGCAATGCTTTTAAATTGGTTCAACCGTTTTGAATATAATTAGATACAAACCAACAAGCGAAAAAAAGCTAAATAAATCATATTATATTGTATACTTTTTATTTGCAGGGTTTAATATGAACTATAGACAGAACGTGTGCTAATGTGCCGAACAAGATGATTTTAGTTAAGAAGTGACTTAACTTGAACAAGTTAAAGAATTTGTAAAACTGTTTCCATAAAAACTGTAAATCAACTTTCAAAATGCATAATGAAGGAACAGGCAGTTTTTATAATGAACCAAGATAGTTTAGGAGTGAAACTCAATGTTTTAATTGATGTCTAGGTAAAACTGCCTGCAGGTTGTAGTGCATATTTTTAAGGCAGAAAACAGGCAGTCATTATATATAGAAGTGCTAATTGCATTAACAGACAATTCTTTAAAAAAGTTTTTGGATGTAAATATATACACAAATATTTGTTTTATGTAATCATTCAGAAATGAAGAGAACTTAGTTTAGTTAAATCTGACAAATTGTTTAAATATCTCAAGCGATTTCACAGTATTCGATTGATCAAACTGTATTTTATCAATTTTAAATTACCAACTTAGTCTATAACAGTAAATTAATTCGTTTATTAAAACATTCTAAATGACAACAACTTCTCTGATTTCCTTCAAAAAAAAAGCTGCACTGAGAGGGATAATTGAAAGCATATAGATTTCAATTTAACCTGATATTAACTCGTGTTTTATTTTTTTAAGTGAATTAATTTGAATATTTAATGGTTTGAGCCCATTTATTTGAACTTAATCAGTTGATCTTAAATAAATATCTATCACAGGAAAATGTACACAAACTTTTTCCCTTTTTTTAGTATGTAAAATGAGCATGTATAGTACCATATGGTTCAAAATGGTCATTTACCATCATGACTATTTTAGTTCTCCAGAACCATGTATTTTAATATTGAATTTCAAGAAACATTTTCTTATTAAGTGTTTATTTCTGCATAAAATAGTGTTATTTTGTATAAATAAATATTATATATTATGTATATGATTAAGATTGCAAAATGTTCCTAATCTAATTTCATAATGAGTGATAACTGTGGTCAGCACAGTAATAAAAATAAATTCTAAGAATAACATAATCCTAGGTTTCCATTTTCTGAGGTTAAACTTACCAACCAAACGTGGAACAAATATATACTAAAGGGACTGTAGACGGAATTTCAAGTGAGTCTTCAGTTATAAAAATTGCGTGTCATATTCACAACGGTACCTTTGAGAGCCATGTAAGCTATTTCCAATCAAGAAAGTATAAGATATTTTTCACATTCATAATAGGATAAAGGTTTAAATTTATGAAATGTCGTCTTGAAAATTTTCAATGGGTATTTTACTATTGTACGTAAATTTCAGTAATTTAAAATAAATAGCCATGAATATGCGGGAACAGTTTTAAAGAGCTTCATATAATCATCTATATTAAAAAACTAAATATCTGCAGCATTCCATTATAAGAAAGTAAGGAATACGACGTTTTATATTTTCTTCCATTGTCTTTTTATATTTGAACCGTATTAATATATATATATTTAATTGTTCATCTTATAAAAGTTCATCGAACATCGTTTTGGGGGTATGAAGCACATCAATTTGGTGTACCGTCCCATTTTGCGTGTTCCTTATTCTTGTGTACTGTACAGCTTGCTCTAGCTGTTTACAGTCGGCCCAGTACAGCAAAATCAGATTTTCTAAAAGTTTGCTTTAATCATTTTATGCAAATTTTTTGCCTAACAAAACGATTATTAAAAACGATTTTATTTTTACCAGTACAGTGATTTAATAAGTGTCTAGTAAACTATTTGCTTTGTAACAACATCAAATACACTTAAGTTTTGCACTAAACTGTCGTCTTCCTATTCCATTGTTTTTTGGTTATCACTGTATTTAGAGTGCAAGCTTATGATTCTCTTTAACAGTTGTAATTGTTCATTTTGTAAAAAAAAAATACCTTTTTTCAAGACAAAACTTTTGGAAAAGATCGTTTCAATAGTTTTTCAAAACGAAATATTCCAAACGATTTCTTCATTTTTGGTTTTTAACAAATCATTTCGAAAATTTCAAAACGATTTTTGATCAAAAAGTGTTCATCACTACTTAGAAGCCTGTAAATATAATAAGCAATATAGTTGGATAAATGTAATTAAGTGCACAAGTGATGTAACTCGAACTAGTTCCCAGCGTGTAGGAGAGTAGAAGATGGAAATATAGATGGATCTATAACGAGATTATCACAACATGACGTCAACATTTACAAGAAACTAAACCAAACTAATCACGTGACTGTATTCATTTTTGTTTTCATTTCATTTCATATTCCAACCCTAATCTATATAATAATACTCTTTACCCAATATATACAGGGTGAGTCAAAAGAAAGTGTGACTAGCGGCGCCTGGTGCAAAATTTTACCTTTTTTGTGCAACTCTCCTGTTTGGTGTTTTTTTCTCAATATTTTTATTTAGAATATTTTGTTTGTGTATTCCAATTGTTCAAAAAAATTCGCGAACCTCTTTTTCTCAAAAAATCAAAAGTTCAGAAAGGCAAAATCTAAAACTTTCAAAAGATTAAATCACAGAAAATTTGCAAAATTGTAAAAAGAAAATTCGCAATATTCAGTTCTGGTCTAATTTTTTAGCTCCTTTCTTCTTAGTATATTCTAAAGTTTCAAATATACGCTGTTCAGTTGATTTGCAACCTGGAGAGCCATTGAAAAACTACTTTTCCTCAAAAATTAGACTAGAACTGAAAATCGCAAATTTGCTCATTACAATTTTGCAAATTTTCTGTGATTTTGTGACACGCTTTAAATTATTTTTCCTTAAGAGTAACAACAATTCAAGGTGATAATGTGGTATCAGGTATGGTATGGTTTGGCAAAACAACAAGAGGGCCTGTTTAAGGTTAGAGTGCACCTGCAGGCTACGCCTTGTTTTACCTGGGATATTTTCTTTGATTCTGTTGAATCAATTTTTCAAAAATCATGTTGCAAAGTAAGGATTAGAAAATTAGATGAAATCATCTGATTAGCGTGTCGGATTTCTAAAGGTTAAAGACATTTTTCAAATCTTATTTCCGTTAATAGTTTTTAATGAAATGATGAATTTTCGTAAAACAACTAAAGTAGTTTCTTTGAGGTTAATGTTTTTTCTATCCATAACCTTTAAACTTTTCATAATTTTAACATTTTCCTTAATTATGTCGGAAATTGCATTCTACAGATTTTTTAAAGAAAGTTTTTGCAAATTATAAGATATAAACAACCAAAGTATGAATATTTAAAATTGGTTAGACAAAATTTTCAACAAGTAGTTTAAACTTTAACCTTAAACAGGCTGGGGTGGGGGTTTGGAGCCCCTCCTGTAGTTTTTTTGTTCTACCACTCTCATTTTTGACACTTTCACGGTGAAATTTTGTGATCTTTAATGTAAAGTAATTTAAAGGATTTTTTGTAAAAAAATATATTTTTTTCAATTCATAGGGTCAGGGCGGAAAAAAGTCCGGTCTGTGAAAAAAAATCTAAAATTTCCCATAACTTTTTTGTGACTCAAGCTATAGATCTAAAAACTATATTTTTGACAAGCCCTTGAAAAATGCATGTAGAAACATGTGTCACATTTTGATATAATTGTTTGAAACAAAAACACATTTTTTTAATTTTTTGACCCTTTTTTAAGCATTTTATTTCACCCTCCCTAGCACCCAAACTATTAAAGTTTTCGGTCTAATTTTTTTTCTTTGAGCTGGCCATGAAAAATTGGGCTATGAACATGCATTTCAACCCTTTTTCTAGGCGGGGCCCCTTTTGAAACACTTTGTGGAAGTCACTACAATGCATATAAATCAATTTTAAATCCAGTTATGTAACTTTAAAAAAAAGAAATGAATAGGAGTAAATTAATGTTTCTTTTCTATTAATCATAAAAACGTATTCAATTAAGCTCAATTAAGACGGTGCACTTAAAGTACGTATGTTTATAAAAATTACTTAATAGTGCAGTACATAATTTGTACAGTTGGGTATTATAAGGGGTCATGGGGGGTTTGTCACAATCTTCCTTTTAACATGTATATGCCTAGTGTTTTATGATGAAAATGTACAATTTAGATTTGTTCTGAATTTTCATATTATTGCATTATTTATTAAATTACTTAATTTACCGTTCATTTATCTATCCATAAATGGATCTTATAAATCCGCTTTATTGCGTACATTATATACTTTATACAGTTATACGCAGTTAGGATAATCTAGATATAAAAATATAGTATAATTACCATTAATCATAGATTTTGGGGCGTCATAAACACGCCCAAGTATTTGTTTCTTCTCTTATTCGTTCATAAAATACCTCATAATTAAAAGTGTTTACGGAAATAACCAGTTTTCCTATCGGATTTTAGAACTTTAATAGAACATTATTACACCTTATTTACACTTCTCTAGAAACATTTTTTTTTTCTTGAAGAAGAGGTTTATGGTGTAAACCCCACCCCTAATACCAAACTGTGCCGGTGCGCCCCCTCCCCTCTTCATAAACATGGTTTCCTGACACAGCAGTTTATAGTTTAAAGCTTCGATTTTGGACAAAATTGCAGAAAAATGATAAATGATTGTTAATAAAAGATAAGTTTCTCAAAGGAATATCCATCTAGTAAGGGAAGTTATACACCAAAAAAAACTTACAAAAAATTTAATTTATATTATATTAAGTTATATATTTAATTATAAGGTTCCTCTTATGATTTTGCCCTTAGAGTTGTTATAGGGGAGTGTGATACATGTCAGTCCAACTTATCCAAAATTAGACCTCTTACTTGGTTAGGGTGTAAGGGAGAATTTTTAAAAAGTTCGAAAACTATGTCGAAAATTTTTGAAAAATAGTTATTTTTACTTTTAAAAAATATTAACATATAACACATGTTATTATATCTATTTTTATTCATATCTATTGTCTTAGCCCTGTAGCTTAATTAATAAAAAAATTAACCATTATTAACCATTTCTGATTTTTTAAAACACCAACCCGTCGTTTTACCGTCCTCCACCCTACCCTATTGCATCAAAAAAAATTGGGATAGGGTTAAAAGAAAAAATAAACAAAATGCTAATCGATGCATGCATATTATGTTTTTTAATCACTTTGGCTGGCAATGACATGAAGAGAGCCAGAGTCATCCTACCATTCACATGCTAATGATGGTCTAAATATATTTAACCAGATCTAGGCTTGTCAAATACCCTATCTTTCACATGCTAATGATGGTCTAAATATATTTAACCAGATCTAAGCGTGTCAAATATCCTATCTTTCACATGCTAATGATGGTCTAGATATATTTAACCAGATCTAAGCGTGTCAAATATTTCTGTAACCCTTGTGGGTTCCAACAATTAAAAGTGTAGTT